TAAGAGTTCTATTGTCACTCACTTGGTGGACACAGGTCATCAAGTTGAACTGAATAAATCTTTTGAGGGTATCTATCATATTTCATCAAATTTGCCACATGGTTTACGAGTTGGTCTTTTGCACATAGCTGAAGCCATCGCAATCCATGTTCACAAACCAAACCTTTGTATCCAAAAGAAGTTTGTACAACCACTCTCGCTACCTTGGCCGTCGGTATAGAGGAGTTTGTAGCAGAATTTCGGTAAACAATTATTTTATTTCTTCCATTTTTGTATTTTTGTATTTTACTTATTCTCTTCATTCGTCTCTTGATTCTTACATAACTACTATATTACTGACCATTCATCAAAATATTTTGTTATTTCTTTCTTCTCTTTTATATATTGTGCAACGTAGCAACAGCTTGGTTTTCAAATAATTACTTTGATTATTATGAATCCTCTTTCTACCAATTAATGAATGTTAGTTTATAATCAATATCTCATTATATAATTACTACGTAACGTATCTACACGAAGAGTGTTACTTCATTACTGTAAATCATATATATATATATATTAATGTAGAGCCATAATGAGAAACTAATTGAAAAGAAACTTCTCTCTATTCGTTCTTTTTGATTGAAAACGAGAGACGTGTGTGTAGAAGTGTATTTATGAGCAGTTAGCAGCGTGTGTCGTGCTATGAGGTATTCGAAAAAACGGAAGAGGAAGAGTTCAAGGTCATGCAATTTTAGACAAACTTTACAATCATTTGTGGTAAATGTGCAAACTGTGAGAATTAACAAAGTAATATTAAAAGCTATTTACAAAATACGTTTGTCGTGCCTATCTCAAGGCACTGGATTTCAGTCTTGTAGTGAACATCACCTCTGGGCTGCAGGCACAACCAGTTAAGAAGTCCCAAATGGAATGAAACCTGCATCTTAAATTTTACTGCTAGCCACATTCCATTTTTAATTATTATTATAGTGTGCTACTATATGTTTCATACCATTAAGAAGATTAAACCAATTATGGCCTTCGGGTAATGCAGGTCTCCCGATCCAAGTGTCTTCAGATTAACTTATCAACACTTTGGTTTCTTCCTTGTTCTCTGTGCAGAATGAGAACTCTATTAAACTACCAAATGTAGTTAAGACATCTGTGACTGGCGATAAAAGTTAATAAAGTCGATTGAACAATTAGTGAAGTAAAATCTTTATCTGTTTTACAACGTTATGTAAAGTTTGCTGATTACTGTAGTAACTTGGAAAAAAGTTTAGTTTAACATCTTCCCATTTTCTATTGCTTTCATTTGTACGCAATATCAAATTAAATCATCTTTGATACTTCGTCTTATGTGAGTCGTACTTGTTAATGTTATTGATGTATGTTTTTTTGTAGAATCTCACTATTTTATGCTCATCCTTTTAAGCATAAATCCAACCCTACATAGAAAACACCCCAGGACTTTCATGTTTTGTAATATGTATGATATCAACCATAAAATGAGCCAGTGTTCAACAGTTCGTACATTCTGATAAAGATGTATCAGTCAATGGATGAATTAGGTATTGAGATCTCTGACTGAAGAAAAATATGTATACTCACAGCTGTAAATGATAAATTATTCGAGTCAAAATAGCCGATTGAATCTAATGTTATATTAACTCAGTTTGACATTCACTTCTAAATCACTACGTCACATTTTTATGAAACAACTTATGTCCACAAAACAAACTATAGATATTGTCATTATAATAAACACTCCTAAGTAAAGGTATTATGCTGAGGAGTCCCACAATAGAACGAAACGGCTGACCAGTGCTTCCAGGTTTTCCATGGTGGTTTAGCTTCAATTGACTCATGAGTTCAACTATATAAAAGTATTAAGTTCTTTTGTAGTGATAATGAAAAAAAGTTAGTATTACCATTTACCGATTTTTTTCCATCTAAACAAAATACAGGAGTTTTTTTCCTCAACATTTCAATTATCAAGTTGCACGTATATAAACTGAAATAATATGCCCATTCATTTAGAAATGTACAAAAATTATTACTATTATTATTCATTTTAACCACACCCAATTCTAGAAGTACTCAATATTGAGCCATGTTGAATGAATTTATTCTAGAATATAAGGACTGGATAATATGTAGATGGGATAAAAACTTTATTGATTATATATAGATTTAAAAAGCAATAAATGATGCCATAATTTTAGTAAAGATAATTTAATTTCCTAAAACCAATTACGTTACTATTCTATTGGTTATTGTTTTATAAATTTGAATCAAACTCTTTTCTATTTTTACCAAAATTTCAAACTCTACTTTGTACACACATTTTATAGTCTTGGTGTTGTATAATAAGCCTATAGAATATTTGTAACATTAGTAACATTGTAAGATAGAAACAATTTTTGATTTAAAATTATTGATTAATTGATTGGTTGGATCAATATGTTTAATTGGACAGTTGCAGTTAGTTAGAAGTTGATATATTTTCTGGATTGAACGCTACCTTGTTATATATGGTTGTCTCTGATTATTATGTCGGAATCGTTTATCACTTATACTTCAAAACGAGGAACTACTTTAATTCCCACAACGTGAATGTAAGAACATATAGACTGATAAAAGTGAAGATTTATTAACACCGAACACCACCACCACGACGACTACTCTAATCGAAAATACACTCATTTATATATTGATTGTATACCCATTTTGATTAATAATTAGGATAAAATCACATATATGAAAAATACAGATCACATGCTACATGTTATGCTGAGCACAGTTCATTTCAATTGACTACAAGAATATCGTATTTTATACAGAATAAAATGTCATACGGAAAAACAAAACAAATACTACATTGAGTGATCATCACATAGAATTAAAACGGAATTAATGTTGAATAACAATCATAATGAGTAATCAATCTAATTTTGACTTAACTTCCTGTCATATCAAAAGCTAAACGAGCTGAGAATATACACTCATCTCATTGGAGGATTTACTGCAATAGCGATTTCAGTCAACCGATTGAGTTGCTCATTGCATATTGTTTATTATTTGGCTACTTATTGTAATTTGAACATTTGACCCACTATATAAAATTAGATGTAGAACATATATCTGTACACCAATCATTATCCACAATCGATTATCACATAAATATATATATATGGATGTTTTTAACATTGTCACTGGTTTTCCTGTGTGCTTGCTTTCTGAGTGCTTGGGGATTTCTACTAATCATTAACAATAAACTACCTCTACAAATGGTGGTCTGGCTATTGAATAATCTTGAGTAAAATCATATTACTACTAGGAGATTTAGCCTGCGTGACATTATATATTGAAGTCAAATATAGAGGGAATTAGCCTGTACACTTGTCTTAATATGATATTTTTGTCATCCTTATACTAATATTGTTGAATGTGCTTAAAGACGATTTGCATTAGCTTGATTGTGTCTGTTTCGATAATCTTAATGAATATACTACTTTTAAAGTGGCTGGAGACTAAGAAAGATGAAAGTTGTATTTGCTTCAAACTAAAAAAAGTCAAGAGCGGTATCATTTATGCTTTATTATCAAGACTTTTTTGGATTAAATTAGATAATTCATATATTGACCGCTAATTGTTCATCTTAGTGTGGAAACTGAAACAGCATCAAACAATTTATCATGTGTCGCTTACAATTCCAATTTGTCAAAATTTATAAATATTGACTACTCCTCATGCTTTTCAGTATTTCAAACCGACTAAAATGGTTTCCATACTGTCCAAAATTCGTAATATTGTCGTAATTATTCTTTATTTACAGTTTAATTTATATAGGGAACAATGAAAACATTATATTCGCCGATAAATTACCTATTAAGTTACCGGATTTGTAGTTCTGTCAGAAACAGTAACAGTCGCCTACAAAATAAAAACTTGTGTTCTCCTGATAAAGTATAACACTAGATAATCAATGAAAATGATAAAACTTCATATATTCTTAATCGCTTATTTATTATATTATTGGTTTTTTATTACAATACATACCGGTAAAAAACGTTGTCATATGTTGACATTAGGCAGGATACTGTTGTAAACTATCTGGACATCAAATTAAACTCCATAAAAACCCATCAATCGACACATGATATTGCAAGAGTCATTAAGATATTCTTGAAATACTTTCCTCAAGTTTGGGTAGGAAGTAGACTTCAACTAAATCATGAATAAGGAATTAATTGTTGATGGTATTGCATGATCATTGCATTATATCACGAACTGATCAAAGTAAATATTTACCGTTATATTTCGGCCGAGTGATCTGAAGGTCAGAGACTGTGAGGCCTAACAGCTTTGCATTCTATTGACTGGTAGGTAGTAGGTATGTGCTTTCAAAAGATCTTCAACTAGAACAAAACAACTATCCAAAGGGTAACATGATTAATGTTGATTGATGACTAACCACACCTATAAATGAAACATTGAACAATGTTTAGGAATACTACGTTGCTGCATTTAGTCTTGCATTCATTTAAAACGAAAACTGCCATTATAAGAGTATAATATTCGTTTGATTCATGATATAGTTTTGAATAGATATGGATATATGTCAAATCTCATTCGATAAGTTGCCTCAATTATTCATAAAAACACTACTTCATATAAATAATTTATTCCACATTAACATAATACAATCTATCAATGTTATTGTCAAAGACACGAGTAATACAAAATACTATGTAAGTTAGAGAAAAAAATTATTTAAATCTAAGGGTATTATGAAAAACTGATTGCAATGAATACAAAACAAAAATATAGATCACAGACTTTACACCTAAGTAACAAGTAGTTTATTTCAGTGCAACAATAAACACTGTGAAAAGTGGATAAAAACAAAACAAAAAAAAATAAGTCTAAAATATACATTCCTGAGTATTTAAGTTCCAATATAATATGAAATATAAAAAAGAAAACATGTTCCATGTTTATATGAAAAAACCATATCAAAATAATTTCCCAATTCGAGCAAATATATCACATTCAATATAGATCATTAATAATATTAAAACAATTATAATCAAGAGAAAAATCTTTTGCCAATATTTAAATTTAAATGAAATACTAGTACAATAAAAAATAAATTTTAATCCTATAAGTAAAGTAATTAATAGACAATAAATAAAAATTGTACAATAACGATTATATAATGGTAGTACTGTATAAATGATAGATTTATTTTGATATAATTGTAATAGACCTATACCAGTTATTTGTGGATAACCTGAACGATAAGTACATGATGGTACACCAATAGAAATTAATTCACCATATAATTTTATTTGTTTTTTATGTGTTAATTTATTTTGAATTTCTAATAATTTTAAGCTATCATTCAATTTGAAGCTTAATGGTTGTGATGATATACTTGATAATTGTGGAGTTTGTATCCATTCAACATTTGATTGTGCATTTTCAAAATTTTTAGTATTTTTCCAATGAATAATTTGACTCTAAATGAGGTAAATAAAGAAAATATTTGGAAGAATTATGTTGGTAATTTCATTAAGCATATAAGTAATTCAAAGGCTAATTTTATAATGAATCAACATAGTATGATTATTCACTACCGACCATGAAATAAAATACAAATATCTGTTTATAACCCCTAAATCAGATTTATTTCAAATCTTAAGTACATTTGGAAACCAAAAATAGTTTTTTTTTTCATTTCGCGGCGGAACTAAATATATTTGTTGGTGTTTTGATGTTCCACTTTATTTTCCATCAATGTCATTGATGAGTAATCTTTTCACTAGAAAGTAGAGTAATTTCTATGCCCTTGATTGTTATTACTATTTACTAATGTCTATTTGAAAATTTCTACGTGAAGTTTATTTTATCAAGGTACCTTTTTATCACGAACTGATTTAAATAAAAACTAACGAGTGTTAGACAGTTTGAACCTCTATTGATTATCAAGCCTAAGATAACCAGCATGATAAATACAGGTTACTAAAATGGAATACAGTAGTTCACAAATTTGACTTTAACGGTCTTGTCTTTTAGCATAACGCATTGCTGAATAGTTCTGGAGGAAAAATCTGTCTGATGGTCACTAGTTTTCGATGATTTTGAAAACCATATGAATTTGTGATTTGAAATTTATGCTTAGAATATACTAAAAAATCGACAGAATCATAACTCCAAATAAATCTTCATTTATCGTACAAAAAGAACACTAGCCTCAGTCTTTATGTTTCTGTTATGCCCCAATAAGGATAATGAATGGTAACTTTGAGATATATTTATGAACCAATATTATGCATCGTATAATTGCTAAATAACCAAACAATTCGTATTCATGTTCCCCTTGTCATGAGCTTTATTTTAAACTATAAACTATTGTTTTACGATTTACCATTCATGAATTACACCCAGTCTGCTAATCACTGTTCCCCTTATTCACAGCCACATTTGACTGAATCTTGTACACATGTTATTTTCTATCTTATGGTACGATGTGGTGAGTTGATTGTTATATAAACTCAGTATGTTTGAAATTTAATGACTCATACCGCAGAGGCTGTTCTGGACTTAACTGGCTGAGATAGGCAGAAGCAGGACCGATAAATATTCTAGACTGCTCGTACGATTTCGTGTGTCACTGTCCCGAAAGATAAATTGCTGCTCTCTGATTGATGGTCTTATCACGTCATACATTAACTGGGCATCCACTCGGCTACAAGTTATAACAGTTTCTCAAGTATACAAATATGATGAGAAAACATCAAACGTATTAATATATTCATCTATTAAAAATATGCACAAGTAATTGTGTGGTGCATTTAGTTAATAAAATATATGTAAATGTTCCACATCTCAGAGATATGTTCCTATGGCTTATCGATTGTTAATTTACATATAATGAATGATAAGTCACTGTCATAATTAGAAAAGTTCGAATTGGTGGATATTAAAACTACGATTACATTGGTCGAGTTAATTTCACTAACTATATTACTCTTCACATGATCTGATTCGTGTAACATGAATAGATATTTTTCAATGTACTGTCATACATACTAATGTTTATTTATTTATTTAAACACATAAATATTGGTACAAGGAAGCACCAGATAAAATATGCGCCTCACAAATCTCATTCGATTTGTGTGAAGGTTGTGATACTGCCCAGGTGCCCAGACTGAAGCAGGTGGTTTTCTTAGGGAGCCACACCTGGAGCCTTTGACCTGAATGTCTGATCCACAAGGTAGTGGAGCATCGTGAGGAGATGCAGTCCCATGGTAGCCGGTGATCAACGGTTGATTCGTACGCCATTTGTTCCCTCAGAATACTGGAGCCCATGTGCACCACTGGTTTGGAATCAGGGTTTTCCAACTCCCCTAGGTGAACATTCCATGTCCAACCCGGTTAAAGCGCCGGACATTCGCTAATGATGGATTTTCAGTAGTTTATTAACTGGTTGATCTATGAACAGTCGATACATCTATAATGTCTAGAATTAATATAAATAAATTCAAATTTTTAATGTTCATATAATCTTATTGCCAATATATTTGTTGTTCTTACGTATTACTTTCACTGAAAGATATTTTGGGCGCAGATGAGGTTTTATGTTTCCTTCTAATATTAGGAAATACGGCGTAATCCATATATATATATATATATATATATATATATATATATATAGATAGAGAGAGAGAGAGAGAGAGAGAGAGAGAGTCATGTAGAAATTTACATTTTGATCATACGCCTGTCGATGATAAAGCTCTTAAATACTTAAGATGAATTCATTGTAAAACAAGCAGAATCGAAAAATAATGTTTACTCATTTAATCATGGGGTAATTGCATTAATATGAATTCTCTGGAAAGAGCACTCTTCACTGAACCAATCTCTCTCAGATTATTGAAAATAACATGTACTGCTATTATTGATTTAACTTGTAAGTTTCCATACACTCCATACACGCACACCTAATTTCAATATCACTGCTTTATATTACAAATGCATACATTTTTTCATACCCACATTCTGACGCAAAATTTAACACAGTGACAGGACAAACAAATTCACCTCAACCAAGAATAATTTGGCATTGACATATTCAGGCCTATCATGATTTTGATTTTACTAAAAACATTCCTCAGTATCAGTAGGTTTCAATATACACAAAGGGAAAAGCAACATTTTTCGATACAACATATCATGCACCAATCGAATTACACTTGACGGAAAAGCTTTGGAGGATGTGAAAACCTTAACATATCTGGGGAGCATCATTGATGAACACGGTGGATCTGATGCAGATGTGAGGGCGAGGGTCGGAAAAGCAAGAGCAACATATCTACAACTGAAAAACATCTGGAACTCAAAACAATTGTCAACCAACATCAAGATTAGAATTTTCAATAGAAATGTCAAGACAGTTCTACTGTATAGAGCGGAAACCCGGAGAACTAAGAAGGCCATCACCCAGAAGATACATGTATTTATTGACAGTCGTCTACGCAAAATACTTCGGATACGTTGGCCAGACACTATCAGCAACAAATTATTTTGGGAGAGAATAAACCATATTTCATCCAGAGGACGAAGAAATCAGGAAGAAGAGGTGGAGGTGGATAGGACACACATTGAGGAAATTACCCAACTGCGTCACAATGCAATCACTCACACGGAATCCTGAAGGTCAAAGGAGAAGAGAAGACGAGAGAACACATCACGCCAAGAAATGGAGACAGACATGAAAAGAATGAACAAAAGTTGGATAGAACTAGAAATGGAGGCTCAGGACAGAGTGGGTTGGAGAATGCTGGTCGGCGGCCTATGCTCCATAGGGAGTAAAAGATGTAAGTAAATAATTTAATTCGGTCATCTATTTACTCTGGAGAAGTGGTTTACATTAGGTCGCAAAATGTTAAAAATACAATTTTCTTTTGATTGGGATATAATAAAAATATATTAACAGTTTTAATTGGTTCAGATAAATATTTCATATAGTACTTTTTTCTTGGAAAAGTAACTATGTATTCTAGGTATATGAAACAGCTTTCTAAATCTCATGAATATCGATAAATCAGTTATAATGATCTCAAATTAAAGTTTATTTAAAAACAAACAGTATCTTGCTTCATTACATGTTGTTATTAGTAAATTCGATAACAAATAGTATTCATACTTAAATATACTACACTGGGAATACATATATTGATTCCTGTTTTTGTTAAGTATGGATTTAACTAACTATCCATAAAATTTAGGAAAAAAAGTTAACATTCATCAATTGCTGACCATAACACTTAAGTGGGAAGCATAAAAAAGATAAGATTTACAAAATCGAAGCGGTCACAACAATTTCTAAATTAGTCAACATAGTTAATTTATCCATATTTGTTGATGCAATTATTCTATGATTAAATGATTAAACATTATTTTTCAATTCTCTTTGTTTTACAAAGAATTCATCTGAAGTACTTAAAAGCTTACCAATGATGATTTGCATCAAAACCTAATGCCGAGGACGTCGAAACGTTGACTAGTAGTCTCACTGCAACTTTGTCGATCGAATCCCTCTATCACTAATTGACTAGAGAAATATGACCGTCAATTTCATTGAACATTATCATACATCATGTAAACATCCAAATAGTAACTGATCCACAATATATACTATAGTTAAATGTTAGACGGAGTAACTCACTCTGTGAAGATGACCATGAATACTCAAAGAGGCATTTGCTTTAAGTAAATTCAAAGGAAAGTGGACATATTCGTGAGAGATAACTGGAAAATGACTGACATATACATTAATTTCATCAGAAGAATTTTCATTGGAAATTTTTGGTCTAATTTCAGGTTTCCTATAATCCTTAAGGAAAATTTATGAGAAATCATAATAGTTACTGAATAGAAATTGACAAATTTATATTTGTAATTTCCATATTTGACAGGTAGATTAGCGAAGAAACGGGTTAACGTTTTTTTTGTAACAGGATTTCCTTCACCACCGATATCATTATCTCCAGGTGTTAAAATGACCTACAACAAAATGAATCCAATAAAAAGTTGCATACAAACAAATCTTTCTCAGAAAGAAATATCTTTCGAAAGCGTGATGTTGCATGTGTAAAGTCTTCATTTAATGCTATGTCTCCGGTATCCAGGACATCACCCAAAAACAAAACACCATTAGAATTTGTTCCTTGTACAGCTTTTAAGAAATAAAATCGAAGGTAACTAGCATAGTATTTTCAGTAACTTCCAAATTACTCATCACTATCAGCCTGTAGTATGTCATTGAAAATCCATAGATCCGAATGATAACCTTCAATGTGGGAATCGGCTATTAGTAGAATTCTCACTTCGTCGTCGCTTGGTCTAAAATTATGAGAATATAAAGTTTGGTAGCCAACTTGTTATCAGGCAGTCTCCATGCGTTCAATGAAATATACGGATGTATGATTTCACCGTAGATTAGACAAATTATTATGACGCAGAATTGTAGTACAGGGCATTGAAAATAACGGAAACTTTTAATCGTCATGCTATAACAAGTGAGAAGTGTATGTTCATACTCTTTAGTTGATTAATTTGAAAAATTAGAAAATCAAACATAAATGTTGCAATGTGATTGGATTACTGGAAAAGTGATTTTTGTTTGGCTATTCTCAACGAGCCAATCAGATTTCTAAACTAAGTACCATGTAGATAAAGACTGTTAAAGGTGAACATTAGATTTCACCACTAACAAACATTGTTGTTTAGGTCGTGAGAGTTCATTGTTAGAAGTCAACTTACTATGATACCTATTATTATTACCATTATCATTATTAGTATTATTATTAGGTGGGAAGCAGTATATAATAATATATTCTGAAAATAATAATTACAGAATTCATAACAGTTAACAGCCATTATCAGCTTGACATAGATAGCAATATTAAACGTAGAGGACAGATATATAATATTAAATTATTTGAAGTGTTCTAGTTCGCAATTTGTTTGGGTAATACATTTTTCACATGTAATACAGAAATGAAAGCGTCAGCCAAGACCCTCAAATTCTATTTCAGTGGACATCCTGTTAATGTATGAATGATCTATATCAAGTGTGATAAATATAAGTATTTGAATTATAGTACAAATTAGGAATCCCAGGAATAACGCAATTTAACTAGGAAGTATTATATGAGCACTAATGAACGTACTGTATTTGGAATTCAAATTTAGGCAGTCATCAAGTACAAAGGAATCGTCAGTTCATACAAACACCGTATTTAAGTCATTTCCTGAGCCATCAGGAATCGATTATAAACATCTACAACCAGAGAAAATAAAACGGAAACATAGGGCATGGAACAACAAAAGCAATAATTACTACTACAGATCAGCCAGGCCTACCATAATACATGTGCCAGGTTATTTTGTGATATAACGTTCATGTTAGATATTATTCAAATTAGTTAAAGCTACAATGGACTGTGTTAGTGTAAAGTATCATCAGGTAAGGATGTTTACTCAGTGGATTCAGAAGTAAAAACTTCTAAACACTTGAAGTCCCTGTAATCACACTTGTGAAATTGGATATATTTACATGTGTAAGAACATTTCATACGTTTTTAGAGAAGAAGCAAGAATCGACACAGTGAACAAAGTATAAGACTGGTTTTATTTCACGGACAGATTGTGGCAAATTATTTCACGGTCTGGAATCTTTACTGGTAAAGTAATTCACATGAAGAGAATACTGAGAATGAGATTGTTTCAATAATGACAAAGAGTGACGTTTGAGTACAAATTTATTACATCTAGACTTATAATTTAAGGCACAGCTAATCCCAAGAATGAGAAGTGTAAATCATCTCTAAACGGATTCCATCCTTAATTTATCCTTTATGCGAACACTACTATGACCTGTTCTGTGAACGACCAATTGTAGGGGTACCTTAGTTCGTTATCGTTTGTTGCTTAGATTATACCTTACCATTTATGATAAGATCTAAGTTGATCGAAGCATCACGAAAGTATATCCATCCACATTTAGCCATGTTCAGCTTCAGCTCTCATTTTTAACACCATCAGGCTACCTTGTTGAGCTCCAAACGGATTAAATTTTGTATTTTGTTTAGCTCATGAAAAAGTGAATACACGACTTTGCGATACATCGATGCAGCGAACCTAGTTCTCCATCCTGGCGGTCGGGGAAGTAATGAGAGAAGTTTTATCTTGAGAATTCAGTGTATAAAAAATGTGGAAGCAACCGTGTGACACGTTTGTTCCTTATCGTCTGTCTAATATTAGGTCTGTTTACATCAAGGTTGTGGTGATTGCTTTGTGTGCCAATCGAGAACAGTATATTTCTTGGATTTAGGTAGTGGGGTTTCGACAAGTCGCCTATTATTTGCATGTTTATCTGGAATGATGAAGTTGTGGATCAACCACTTCTTGTCTATGTGCCCATGTAACAATGTCTGAGATCAGTATGGTCAAACCTGGTGTCAGGGAATATATATTTGTTTGGCCGATCCTTTCTAATAATTTTGGTATTCTTTTGGAACCAGACACTTGTGTATGTATTTTCTAATCGTTAGGTGTGAACGGTTTCTTTTTATCCAAACAGTGTCTTAAAGAACTCTCATGTTAGAACTAGGCGTTTATGTATGCGCTCCTATTGTTGATTTGGGAGATATCAGATTAGAAAGCACAAGATCCATACTTACATCAGGCATACATTGGTTGTCTGATGTCACTATAGGCTTGAGTAGTAAATTAAAACTCTTCATTGATAAATCAGATTGTTGACTGACAGATGAGTTGGTCCTGTTGATGAGGCAACAGGATTCGTTGTAACTTCTACATCATTATTTTAGTCTAAGGATTAGTAACCCAATTTTATGAAGAGAACACGATTGGTATGACGGGAAAATTTATTACTATAACCAACTGTAACAGTGATTGTTTTACTGTACCTGTTTGTTTAAGTTTACAAAACATACACTTTCTTCACTTTTCTGTAACCTTGCACGAACTCGCGTACGCTCGGTGGTTCCGCTTGTAAACGTTGGGATGATCTCGGTTTTCTTTCAATACCACTAGATTGTCAACAAATATATCTTTTTACGGCCGTCAACTGCCTTCTGGTTTTTGGCTTACGGAGGAATACAACCTAATATCTGGCACGTAATCTTCATGTAGTGGTGATTATAGTCAATCGCGACTCCACGCCAACAACAAAGATACGCTTTTGCTTTAGCCTTTGATTGATGGTTTTATCTGAGACTTAACAGGCATTCCTGAACTTTTTAAGTGTGCAGACTAACCATCCGGATTCCTTCAGTCGTTCATTTGCTAAATGCGAATCAAATCTAAGCAAGGAACGGAACGAGAATGGTGAATAAATTGACATGGACTATCTTGAAAGTTAGCTATTATCACTATCGGACACCCCAGTGATTTGAAAGTGATTTTGTCAATCGTTTTATAGATAATCACGTTATTTCCAGGAATCATTCACTTAATAACTTCTCTGGAAATATAGTCCATGGCAGGTGCTGCACCAATAATGCTCTAAAGTCCTATAAGAACCACGTCCTTCTAAATAATAGCTTAAAGAGTGAGAAAGCCTTTATTTCTTGCTTAATATCATCATGCATTGATGACAGACCAACAAGTGACCACACATTAAATAGCGTGTTTTTTAATTGCTCACTTTTTTTATACTACCAGAGCTAATGGCTTTTGATGTGCAACTCACTAGTAAATTATATACTGTGTCATCCAGCGGCATACATAGCGTAAATTACATACGATACAACCATTTGCGAAAGGAGTTTTTGGCCATGGATTAGGGGTAATAACATAGTCGATATTATCCAAAGTATTAGGGATTTTCGGATTTGCTTTGACGATCGGCGGTCGGTTTTGATATATATATATATATATATATATATCGATATAGATATAGATATACGTCACATATCCCGATCAAATTGTAGCAGTAGATAAATCCCCAAATAAAATATTAAATAGGAATAATATATTTGTAAAATCTCAGCGAATGAATTTGAAGTAAATCCAACGTTTCGCCTGGCAATCTGGTCTAAGCTCATAATTCCTTGAAAAAGCAAACGTCAGTATGTCATGAATACCTCAGACAGAAAAGATACCGTGAAGGTAAATTTGAAACCAAAACAAAAATTTTATGGTCAACAACGAATATACAATTGAAGTGGAATGACGATAAATGTCGGGGATGAAGAAATTTATTCATGAAACAACTCTAACTTAGTCATTTTGAGACTGACTCTTATACATCATCGACCGGTATGTATGTATATAAATAATTGGTCTATCGCAAATCAGAACATTAGGTTCAGAGCATGTCTCTTACAGATGCGCTCACGTCCAATGAGCTACCGTCAACTATCCGTTGGAAATCCATATAAGTATCAGTGTTTTCACGTACTGAATGAATTTTCGGCAACAGTTCATATGTACTAGTAGTATTACTAGATCATATCAGGGTTAAACAATAATCAGGTCAAGAAAATCTCCGCGCAATTAAATACACCGCATTAAATGTAACAAACTAACTGGAACACTAGTTGAAACTCCACCACCCTGCACTCGTACATTTGTTCCTTCAGTTAACTTACTAATGCGGATGTAATTTGAAATCAACTCATTCGGACAGTATATCGGCATAAACGTTAACAATCAATGTCACTTTGTTTCTGGTGTAAGAGGATTGTAGTGATGTTGTGTCCAACCAAATGATACTCGAAGTTGAAAATAATATAACTAAGTAAATCCACATTCAGCATCCAACGTGGAGAGGTCAGTAATGGTGAGCACGGTGATAACCTATTGAAACTCCACGGCTTGACCATGCAGGCGTGGTCATTCTGCCTAACCTCCTTTTTTATCGAATATATTATTCTCTCCCGAGTCCAGATGTGTCCTTAAAGAGTGCTAGACGTCATATTGCTGGTTGTCGCGATAGGATGAGTCAGTGTATATAATGAAACAGACTCATCTGGGTCCCGGAATCGTATGTAATCACTGTGTCGGTTGTGAACTGAAACCACTGATATCTAGAATTGGGACCACAGATGTTCCAACACTATTCTCCTACAGAAAATAATGTTGGGTCCTTATATCTCAATGTTATGATAGTGAGTATTTGGTGATGCGCACTGACATATAATTTGAGGCATACCATCATGTGACTTTGACTTGTATAAAAAATACGATACATATTCCCTCTGCTTTTCAGTTTTGGAATATACAAGGCCATTGTTCCAGTTATCAGAGAAATATGCATTGATATGTCCAATTAACACATGTGATTAATCTAAGCTTGATTGACCTGCAAAGCAATCAAATAAAAAACATGCATATGCCCTAAACTCATTAGGACAATCTTGTACTCGATTCGAATTATCCGCCTGGGCGAACTGGTTCTCTGACTGGTTCGTTAAAACTTGCTATTCTTTATGATTCATCATATCACTGACTGGGGATTCTATCCGTCGTACATTCGCTGTGAGAATATCCAACACCTGACACAATAACATCAAAAATGTGACTAGAGCTTGACTAATTCGGAACATATTTGTCACATTCATTAGGAATATCACTAGATATAAATCCGTCGTGAGGACAAATAACATCTGGTGCGACACCATAAGGACAGTAATCAGGTTTCAACTCATCTAGGACTTGTTTCTCACGTTTAATTAAGATTTCACTCGAAAAATGAACCATTTGGACAAACAACATTTGATAAAATGACATCGGAGTTTTGATCGGGATTTGGTACACTTGATATATCTTCCAAATATTTGTAAATAATTTCACTAGAAATACATGAATCATGGGAACGGCTAATATATATTAAAATAATATCATGAATCTGATCAGAGTATGATTAATTTTAAACATTCAATTTAGTAGGATCGGAATTACAAATTTTATCATAAGTCGCGATTGAATGTTTAGTAGCATTCCAAACTTCCTGTATGTGTCCAATCAAACCACATTTAAAGTACTTAGCATCACGAAATACACGTGAATTACGTGAATGAAAGTTTCTATTTTTTTCTCTTCAGAATCTTGTTCTGAGAGTGAAGCTATGTGACTTCTGACATCTGGAATAACCTCGACGAACGCACTTTCCCAAGGTCATAGTTCGAACCAGGCGCTCCACAAGCCTACTTTATAACAACTATAAACTTAAAAAGCTGCATTACATAAATACTTAGCACGACCGAAATCCTAATTCACTTTTTGTCGAGATTGGATCTGGTATGTAACGTGGACGCCATGCCCCTTTGGAACCTATTCTTATGAAAAAACACTATATCTGAGATAATTGGAATTTATAGCAACATTGTTCGTGTTTGTATGGTTGAGTACAGACTTGTTGCAAGTGTCTACCAGGTGGTCACCTTGTGTATACTTAGTTGAGGAATGAAGTACATGTCTGGCTGCAGACGTAGGACGAAACCAGATTGAGCCAAGGATCCAGATGCGACCAGGATAACCATGTTCGGGATCAAATGTATACTATACGTATTTGGAGCCAGAGAGGTCGACTGAGTGCGTTGACCAGAGCATGGGTGATCAGGCCAGCTTTCGCCAAAGTTGACTGAAGTCGACGATACCGTAACAGCGATGGTCGGAGGCGTAGGCTCGGGGAAAACAAAAAAATGAGAGAAAAAGAGAAGAGTGTAGCATTCGTGTAGTATAGGGTTAAGGTCCTATATGTATCCGCTGCTGGTTATGAGGTTAGTCGCGAAAGCGTACGGGTAAGCGTACTCGGCGACCGGAACGTGAGACGGTAGTCTCGTTCGAACCTCGTGAGCCTGCAATCTCATCCACAGTCAAGGGCGGTGTGGTCTGCTGGTCTGGACGTGACAGTGAAGTCTCGTCAGTTGACGTGGCAGGTGATACGTGTTGTTGACTGGGACGTGAGAATGAGGTCTCAGGTGCATCTAGCGTGGGATCCGGAGTAGATGTAGAGATCCCGCTAGAAGCCTTGATGGTTTTTGCATTGGGTCTCGGCTTATCAGGTAGGGCACTGTCATCGACGTGTGCTGGCTTGAGACGATCAATGCTGTCATGTCGATCAATCTTGAAGGTTTTTTCGTGACGGGAAACCACGTGAAAAGAAGCTTCTTAAGGCTATTTGCTCAGATTGACCGTAAGTTGTCGTGTACCTTAGGTGGGAATGACTGAGTCATCCGCAGCGCGTAGTCGAAGCATCGTAGCTTGAGACTTACTGTTACTGATAGGTACGACAGAAACTTGGGTACCTGTATCCACGAGGTACCTAGCGTTAGTGCGATAATCGTGCACGTAAAATAAACGGTCAAACGGAGGTGAAGGGCCGGTGAGTACGGCCGTATTTACTCACCGGCTCAGGAGTTTCCCGCCTTGTATGAGCAGGGAGCTCGACAATGACGGGCACCGGCCCCGAAGGCACGGTGGAACCAGCACCAACTCAGACTCGCTTCCGAAACCGCCTTCTGGCGTGGCTTGGAAGATTCCCGCTTGGGGCGAGTCGTTACGGCCTTACGAGATTGTGACCTGAGTCGGGGGACGTAGGGGGCTGGCACATTTGAGCGGTCTCGGAAATTGAGACGAGTATAGATACATCTGTCCCTATCCCCATGAGCCAAAGGTCGTCTAGCATGGAAATCCATGTTTGAATGAGAAGTAGAGGCAACAATATAGTTGTCTTTGGCGCTAACACGTGCTAGAATCTTGTCTGCTATGAGGGCCAACTTATTGAGTGGGGTGTCCTCGAGCAGGGCCGTAAGAGTTGATTGGATACTAGCTGGTAATGTTTCGAGCCATAACTCTTTGACTATTTCGAAGTCTGCTGTCGAGTTTCCTGCAAGGGATTGCAGGCGCGTGAGGTGGTGGCTCGGCTTAGCATCACCCATAGGGTGACGTGCTAATAGTGTCCTCAATCGTTCCTCTCTTGATGGGAGGAAATGTCGAAGGATGGCATCCTTAAGACGGTCGTAAACGTTCGGAACGTTCGGATTGAGGACAACCTCACGAACAGCAGTTAGGTGATCCCCGGGCAATGATTCCAAAGCGTAGGCGTACTTTTGCCTTTGGTTGGTTATGCGGCGGATCTCAAATTGAGATTCCAGTGCCACGAACCAGATGTTGTGCGTGTTCCCAATACGGCTCACCAGTTTGTAGTGGATGTCGAGTCGAAGACGGACTATGATCACCACTACAATTCGTTTACGCGCCCAAAAACGACTTGGTTCCTTTGATAGCTTGTAAATCAGAAGACTTTATTAATCCAGATCAATTGTATTTATTGGCGATCTCGTGGTATCGAAATAATACCGAGACGTGCCAAAGAGTACAGGCGAACAGGCAGTGCGTGAGCAAGTTCGAACCAAACAAGGCGGAGAGCGAAAACAGAAGTGAAACTGATACAGTTAAACAAATACAGTAAAACAATCTCTGGTACAATAATAATAATAATTGTTTCCGTTATTCCAATCGTGTTCTTATCGAGACTGTCCGGTCACTACAGATGGTTTGGTTTCAATAGATACAATACAGAATTAACTAAACAATAGAAACCTTGAGATCACAAAAAAAAACTCTACAAACGTGACAATTGCACACAAGCTACTGTTGCAAAATCTTTTAGTCTATTAATAATTGATCCAATAAAAAGAGACTAACTTTAGGTTTGTGATGTAACGCGGCCAAACATATGACAGGAAAAACTAGCGATTTCATGTGACAAGCTGTCAACATATTAAAAATGCATGTTAAAATATATTCTGTAATCTCTAGGAGGACAGAAAAATGAAATATATCCAGTTCTTTGTGAACATATCAAAATGTAATATAACTCCACTCGCCGTAGATCGTTTCTCAGATTCACTTCAAAGAAAGCTGAATTAACTATGAAACCAGTTCTTCACTAAATTCAGTCCTTATGGCCTCAAAAATGATTCAACGACTATATATTGTTTAAATTGCCAGTTCTTCATGTCGTTTTATTATGTCAATATGTGACCTTGACGCTTTTGCATTTGGTTTTGTATACGCGCGAAGACTCATTCTGTTTCTTGGATGCTTTGGTCGTTCAGGTGAGTCGGGTCTAGTAATATGGTTGTTTTTTTTCTTCAATGAAGAGTATCATTTGACTAATAAGATTCCAAGGTCCATTTAGGTGTTCTGGTTAATTTATCATGTACAGTGTATTTTAATCCCAATATACTTTGCGTTTCTTCCAAATACCAAGTGTTCTTGACACTCCAATAATTCCTTCTTGATCTTTATTACAGTATCTACTTGGTGATGTTTTGCTTTCAGAGTATTCGTTTTTTTAGATCGTGGTTAAATATTCAAAAGCGTTTCACCAATCATCAATATTACACATGCTGCGCTTGTGTGACATAAAACTTCTTAGTTCCCCAATTATCTAGATTTCTGATGCATATTGTGTATCCACTTTCTGAGAATATAGTCGATTAGTGGGAATTATCAAGTCCTAGGAACCTCTTGTTTTGTTTTCTTGAACTATACTTAAGCCGCTTGTTATCTTGATGGACACCAATATGTTCTGCCCTTCCTATCGACCTTTAATTTAGCGTTAAGTGATCATTTGAGTATACAAAGTGCTATTTTCCGCATCATTCTGTTAGAAAATCACGTTATCTGTTTGTCAGTGTGCAGGTGACATTTTTTGTGTGTTAGCCCAAGTCTGCTCACGACAGTTCCATATCGTTGTGTTTACGAGATATCACAAGTTAAGCCGATGTACGCAATGTGCCAGGTTCGACGTTGTATGTAACTGACTGCTGTACGGCTGATTTTATTAAGGGAGAAGTTTCGTTGTTTATTACTACACTGTTCTTTTCCTAACAGCATAAGCGTATTCTCTTTCTTGTAAATATTAAGATGAGTCTAGCACAGTTTTTCCTTTATTAATCTTTTCCACCATTTATACTGCTCTAGTTATATATATTTATGATCTTACTTATGTTTTTGTCCTGTCATCTAATTGTATATGATGTCTCTTGATACCTTACACGGTAAGCTTTTAGCAACAATGAATTATTTGTTACACTTCTGTGCTAAGAATCAGTACATTCTAAGCACTCAGTTATTTTGACACACTTGAAAATTAGTGGCGTTCACTTTTGTAATTACTGATTAAACTCTCGTTTTTGTTTACGGTAGCATTTCCAATGCCCATATATAATTAATGGGTCAGGGGTAATCTTGGGTACTGAATCTGACCTGAAAGCTAGTGGGACTTGTTTTGTGCTTTGGTAGTGCAATTCCCATTTTACGGTCTATTCACGTAGATCCTTAATTTTTTTCTCATAATTTCCTTTCTTGAAATAGTATGACAGTCTGGACCAATTTACAGACGTTGCTTATGACTGACTGGATTGTACGATGTTGATTCCTTGAGGAAGCGTATGTTACTCAAAGCTCGTAGATGCACCATACAAACACTCAATCTTATTTCTGTACGGTCTGCTTCTAATTTTGGATCATAAAATAAAAGTGGATAGTTGTGACTCAGATGATATTATTTTATCTCCTTTCAAAGGATTACTGACTAAAATGTATTCATTAGTAATCTTGTTCACATTGTTTTTTTGCGACATATTCAAAGTATCAGTTTTCCTGTACCGTTTACAGTAGCAAAGGCATCCTGGTTTTCCCGTTACTGTATCATCATCGTTAAATATATCCTAATAATATATTTACGCATTCTATTACAGATTCTAGCTGTATTTATCTATCTATGATTAAGACAGCTCATAGCGTTTCCAATCTACATTCTACTTTGGAATTGAGTCCATGTGTGATTAAACGTACACAAAGTTCTCATTTCGTGCAGGTTAGTTACTAGATATCTACTTTCGTTTTTTTCCATTCATATTGCAGTGGAAACATTTGTTTCTGTTTTGATATCACTATATTTGTTCATTCAGAGTTGGGATCACTTTGGCTACTGTCCTAAACCGTTTAATATTTATGGGACACTAAATTTTGGAGTCAGCGCAGAAAAATGCGCTTTTTCTACTTTACGTTTAACTCCCCATTGTAGTCCTTGAATCGTTTGTTAAGATTTATATTGTAGAACTTTTAGTCCAAGAGTTCAGCATAGGACTTAAATGTTGTCCCTAGTTCCTTCAGTACTTCAAAGAACCCATAAAAATGTAATAATATGTTAGTTAATCAAAATACCTGTGGCTTTCTCATTTGGAAGCAGTCTTGAGGTAGCCTATCTAAAATTATGATCTGTACTAGAAGTAAAAAGCGTCTTATCCTTCCAGAGTGAATTGAAAGTATACCTTGTATTCTGATGATGAAATTAAGTGGAGTAACATTCAACCTCCGAACAATGACATTTAAAATACATATATTTAGTTTACCACCATTACATTAGTGAGGCAGCACTGTATTATAAATAATAAGCCAAAAACAGTAACGATTACATAGATAGGTTGGACTGTCGCCTTATAGTTACAATATGTGGTGCACAGTGAGGCTTTCGCAACATTATCATTCGGAGAGACTGTAATTTATGGACGAATCAATCAGATTTGCGATAACGTTTTGAATTTTGGTGCAAAATTATTCATTCATTTGGCTAAATAAAGTTTTGGTATTATAACTGTTGTCAGTTCGTAATGAAGATTCTAAATCTAATTCCTAACCCTAACTATCAACTGTAAATAATAATTCTAATTCCTCACACTGGTTTATAATCCTCACTTAGCCGTAGTATGTAGGTGGGTATTCTCAAGGTCTTTTTAGAATCGGTCAAAGGTCATCCATAAATTATAGTCTCACCGATCATTCTATCGAAACACGAAAAATTACAAGTGTTTGTAAAGTTGGGACACTTCAGAGTCATAAAGTCAAGGAAAACTAGCAAGCGAAAGGAAGAAAAGCGGAGTGACAATAATAATGTCTGCAGTTATAAGAAGATAAAAGAATAACGACCTTATGCACAAGTGAGACCAGAAAATGTAGGATTGAGAATAGCAGTTTAAGTGTATGTTGGCTACTGTAGGAGCTTTTAAGTCATCAAATCGCCGAAAGCCTACACCTTTTTCACGACTCAGACTTCACCGACTACTGCAATGTTTCAGTGTTACTGCTGTCAGTATTTTTTCCAATCAAGTCTAATGATAGGAACGATAAAGCGAAGAGATAGGTCATTGGGAACTTTGCTTGAAATCTTTTAGTTGTAACTCCCGTGAGTTCAATAAAGCCAAGACTTACACTGTCACTAATGCATGGTCCAGAAGAAGCAACGATCGTATACAGTAATATATGCGATATTACGAAGATTAAACCTTTGAAAGTATATATAGTCAAATACACAAAAAATCACAACTATATGTATAAATTTATAAAGTTTGTCCTTTATAATTATCAATGAGGCGTGGCATTATATTTTCTTGGTCTAACGTTTGGTAGTTTGTATAACTTGACATAATATGTATTGTAAGATGAGTCACAATTTCGGGCGTGACTGATGTATGCATGTGAGTTGACGTAGTCTCGCCTTTAATCACTAATAAACAAGTGAAAATCATAGATATCAGTTGTAATTTTTGGTCTACATTATTGGAAGTAACAACTCATAGTAAGAAACACTACAAAAAATAAGACCCATTTGTTTATCACGAGAAAGTAACATTCATAGAAATCTAGACGAAATTATTAAATATGGACAACTATATTAGACCACCGCCCAATCTAAGTTTCTGAATATTGTATTGTTGTATTATTGTGTAGGCATCCTAGTGATGATCTGGAATGTAATCTTTATTTATGGTTTGGTATTTTAAGTGGCATGACTCGAAGTCTATCTCAATAGCCGAAATCCATTTTTATTGTTATTGTCTGCCTTATGTCCCTTGAGATTATTTGTGCATAATGTCTTTATTCTCCTACTTTCCCACAATTACTAGGATTATCATCAGTATTCTGTCTTTTTGTTTCTTTGCGTTATTTTTCCGTTATCATATTGATATGGGACATGGTAACATGTGCCTAAAATTTTTTCTGCTGTTCTGTGTCTGTCTCTGTTTCTATAGTGTATTTCTCTTCGAGACATGCTTTAATACTACGAGTAAATGATTCAGCTCTGCCGTGAAGGGTATTAACTACATCCCTAACGCATCGTCACTTCTAAATTCGTTCTTAGTGCGGTTTATGTGTTAACTGTAACCTTTTCAGTCTGTAGTATATTACGACCATTTTCGTTACTGATATTGAATTGTTTAGTAGCACACACTTATCACTTCTAATGCTTTGTAAAATAGTATTTTTAAATTTAAGTTGCTTCCTAATTTTAGAGTTCAGGGATCTAAGATTTATTGTTTAAAGTTAATTTTACACGGTACTCGACCCAACAATCTTTGTTTTTTGCATGATATTCACCTTGAAATCCTGTTTTATTGATCACTGGCATTTAATATAGGACAATAAAAATTAACCATGTTGATACTAGTTCATTAACTTGTTTGTACGTGTTTATGTAGATTCGTTGTTTTCTTTTAATTTGATGTTCATACAATATTTTTAAAACAATTCTTATGTTTTTTTTAAAATTCTCAGATACTTGACGAATCTATGTGTGTTGTTCGTGAAGATCTCACGGAATGGTTACAACATTATTTATTTTCAACTGCTAATGCATGCCCCATAGAAGCACATTATCTACTTTGTCGTTTAGCATCAGGTCTGTGGCTTTCTAGACTGGCTTGTAAATTACATTATTCGATTTTGGAATCAGGTCATCAAATTGCACCAAAATCAAAAGCCTTATCAAAATCAACACATAATAGTAATAATAATAATGGTCGTTCATATGAATTTCTAAGAGGTGCAGTATCCAATCGTGACTTAAAAAATCTTACTCCGATTTCATTACCATCATTTCCTTCTACATTAACTGATTGTGCTAAACTACCACTTGGTCCGTCAGATCTCTGTTCTTTTTCACCACAACATACTAGTTATAAACATAACTCAAATATGTCAAAATGTAATATAGATTTTCCTAAAGAAAATATCTCATTAAAATCTCGCGTTGCTGATCGTTGGATAGCTCGTGATAATGTTAGTGCGTTTATCAAATGGTGTAAAGATTTGGGTGTACCAGAAACAATATTATTTGAAACAAATGGATTAAGTAAGTTTATTAATTCATATACAATTATGTATGCTTAAATTAAGGAAAAATATTTACTTCCAATAGTTTAATAGAATAAATGTCATACTTAATACTACTTGGTAAATCTAACGGAGCCCTGAAATAAACTTTAATAGTAGTTACGAGACATCAATAACTTCAGAACTAGGTTTGTGAGAAAGTAACATGAACCATAGAAAACTATTGAATGATTGAATAGCAACGTAAAGCTGTTTTGTCCTAATTCAGGACTACAAAACTTTGGATAATTGTTTTGAATCAAAGGTTGGATCTTTCAACGAGTGCTTATCCCCAATCGTGTGCAGTTTTGAATCCCAACCAGTTAAGTATCTTCATGATGAGGAATATCTTCCAATCAGTCGACTGGTAGGTTCTGGGTTCGAATCTCGCGAGGCGAGGTCGTGGATGCGCACTACTGAGGAGTCCCAAAATAGGACGAAACGGCCGTCCAGTGCTTCCAGGTTTTCCATGGTGGTCTAGCTTCAATTGACTCACGCTTTCAACTCATTCAAATGTCAAGTTTTTCTTAGAAAATAATTTTCACTTTAATAACAGAGTAAATTGTGTAGTTAATCATTTTGAAAGTGAGAATAAATAACCCTGTCAGTTAAACTGAATGATATTATCAAAGTGTGACAACTTGTACCTCTTGACTCAGAATTCCTTTCCATATAATGACTTCAATATATTTGTTTGCATAATAAGACCACATATTGTTTATACTTTATCAGTTGTTGTAGTATACATTATCGGTTATTTTGAATGTGTTTGTTTGTCTTTCACTATCTTTCCAATAGTAATATTTTACTAGTATCAAAGTTGTTTATTTATCATTAAATTTTCGTATCTTTATTACTCACCATGATTACTCAGAGTATTGATCAAATACGGGATTGACCCTCATTGATCGGTTTACTATAAATAACGTTATAAATTTTGAGTTACTGAATTATTTGATTATTTTAAACTGGTTTACACGATATTAAAGTGAATTCACTGACATGATGTTTGTTTCTTTTATTGAAAATGCAACGTCTTTCCATACTGATTGTTCGTCATAGGTTTTGGCAATGATTGTCCTTGTGTAGGTAACCATTCAGTCAGACTATTGTTTACTATTGAAATCATGAACCGGTCTGAATTAGACCGCTATTGGACATCTGGAAGTATTGAACTGCCTTTTCATTCTAGTATAGGAATCCCCAACAGTGCACATCGACGATCCAATACTAGGACGAAACGCCTGTCCCCATAGATTCGATCGTTGGTGCGATAAAAGTGTAGTCTTATGTAAGCAACTGTGAAGTCTTCTCCAACTCAGCGAACGAAACCTCACCAAATTATCCATCTAGATTACAAGTGTTTCCCACCATCACAACTTTGAAGTCAAATGTGAAGTTTTATGAGAACAAGGTTAGTAAACCGTCACTGAATAAAACAATCGACACATGTTTTTTATTATCTATCACAATATTACAACAGAGGCTAGGATTGATCATACCAGTATGTGTAAAACCAATGGATTAAGTCAATGATTATTTATCTAACTAGTGTGGGTTTTCCTTATAATGTCGTCGAAATGATGAATATTAATAATTGTAAACTGTCATTACTTCTCATGTTTATTGGTTGCTTGAATCCGCACATTGATGTTTAGGACTGAAACCTTGACGTGGTGGTCCGGCTTGTCTATCGTGATAAGGCAATCGAGCTATGCTGGCTGGAACAATCGTTCCTCGAGGTCCTACCATGCCAGACAGGTCGGTTGAAGAGCTGTAAGACTAAAAGCAGCAATCCCAAGGTCCGAAGGCGAAGTCGTACTGCCGACTGTACAGAGGTGTGACGGCAGTAAGGTGTTTCATTCAGACAACCAGCATGACAGCGATGCTGCCTTCCCACAAGGAGGGGTGGGGTTAGAAAAGGTGGACCCTAAAATTGCACACCTCGCCCTATCCCACGGATATCCGTCTCCGGCGGTAAGGTCCCAACAATCACGGAGGTAACACAAAAATTACCCACAAAATGGTCGTGTGTGACCGACCTCAAGCAGTTGTCCCTTGGGCACTGCGGTCACACTCCCAGGTCGTTCAGACCAATACTAATCCAACTTCTTTTTCAGGTCCCTCAAGAAATACCCTTCCACGGTGTGGGCAGCCGGGAAGTGATAAATGCCCTCATACCCGTAACAGCACACGAGACCAAGTTGGTCACTTTCAAATCCTTCCTACACCTAACAACTCTCTTATCTCCACGACTAACCCTTCCCACATCCTTTTATCACCTTGCACCGCTAGGGCAAACGATTCGTGTACACGGAACGTTATTCCTGGTCTACTGAAGCCTCGCTCTAAACTACATGTAGGAACTTTTAATGTCCGAACATTGTGCCAAATAGGACAACAGGCTTCCTTAGCTAGGACTCTAGAATCTTACACCATCGATGTATGCTGCGTCTCCGAAACGCGCATACAAGATCCGAGTAGCGTCATTCATTTGACCTCACCTAATCAAAATAAAGAACCATCTCGATACACGCTTCGTGTATCTGGAAGCCTCGATGCTGCTTCCCGTAGCCTCGCTGGAGTAGATATAGCATTAAGTCGTAGGGCAGAACTAGCTCTTTTAGACTGGATCCCAGTAGACAGTCGTCTATGCGCTGTCCGACTAAACGGGTCAGTAAGGACTCGGAAAGATAGGGAAACTTGTCGTTGTCTCTTCGTCATCTCTGCCTACTCTCCCACTGACTGCAGCTCAAACGATATAAAAAATGAGTTCTACAGGAAACTTTCTGACCTTCTCCGAAAAGCTAGGCGTTCTGATGTGGTAATAGTGGTTGGTGACTTTAATGCTCAAGTAGGTAAACTAAGTGAAAGGGAAAGACACCTGGGAGGATCTTATGGTGTCGTGGCTAAAAGAACAGATAATGGCGACCGTCTGTTGCAACTGTGCTCAGATAACCGCCTATTTCTTGCAAATACTAACTTTAAGCATAAGGAAAAACATCTCTTGACATGGCGACCCTCGAATTCGTCCCAACGTTGGACCCAGTTATATCACATCGCTATCAGCCACCGATGGAGGGGCTCGATAGAAGACTGTCGCTCATTCTGGGGCACATGTTTATATTCAGATCATGCTCTAGTGCGAGCACGTATCTGTCTGCGACTTACTGGACGTAGGAAAGACACTGCAGGGAAGCCTCTAAGGGTTCTACTTAATGATAAGCAAGCTAAGAATATATTTCAGGAACAACTGGGAAACAGTTAGGCAGACATGTAAGTTGTGTCCACCCCGAAGCAACATGGAATGACATCCGAAAAGCTGTGGAAACAGCTGTGATATCCGCTAGCAAGGTAAGCCATAAGGTCAGGGAGAAACAGTGGATCTCGGCAGCATCTACCGCACTGATAGATGCTCGTAAACTCATCCCATATGGCTCTGAACATAACGAAGAGCGGAGTCAGCTTAAGCGAAGGCTAATAAGAAGCCTACGCAATGATCGTGAACAGTGGTGGGTAGCGAAAGCAAGAGAGATGGAAAAGGCAGCGGCAATAGGTAACGACAGACAGCTGTTCAGACTTATTAAAGAAACCGGTATTAGGAACCCAACTATTAGCGAAACTATCTCAGACAAAGATGGGCATATCATTCATTCTCAATCCAGGAGATTGGATCGATGGACAGAACACTTTATGGATCAGTTCAACTGGCCTTCAGCCACACTTCAGTTACCCACGATCCCCAGTCGTCCTGAATGGCAAAAGTCCTTCGACCCTCTACGAGGTTGAAAAAGCTATAGGAAATCTAAAGCGAGGGAGAGCCGCAGGCCCTGACAGGTTTACCCCTGAGATTTTTAAGGATGGTGGTCTAATACTAGCAACGAGATTGACTGAGGTCTTATGTAGAATCTGGGAACTGAACGTAATTCCATCTGACTGGTCCCAATCACTGATTGTGCCAGTCTATAAGAAAGGACAAAAGTCCTGTGACAATCACAGAGGAATCAGTTTGACTAATATAGTGTCTAAAATATTAGCTTCAATAATACTTGGACGCCTAACCAAAGCTCGTGAAGCGCAGACTAGAGAAAACCAGTCTGGTTTTCGACCTGGACGTGGTTGCATAGACCAGATATTCACTCTACGTCAGGTCCTAGAACATAGGCATACATTCAGATGTCCCACAATAGTAGTATTTCTTGACCTTAAGGCGGCATTTGACTCCGTTGATCGTGAGGTTCTATGGCAGTGTTTGTCACTGAAAGGAGTACCAAAGAAGTACATTAACCTCATAAAGGCTCTCTACTCGAACACAACTGGTCGAGTTAGAGCCTATGGCGAACTGTCATCAGAATTGGTTACCTCGAGTGGTGTTCGTCAGGGCTGTCCACTCTCCCCATTCTTGTTTTACTTTGTCATTGACATACTTTTAGAGGTATCACTTTCATCATCTCAATCTCCTGGAGTTGAACTTTTACCGGGAGGTTCACTTGTTGACTTAGAATACGCCGACGACATAGTTTTATTCGGTGAAGACTCTGACAAAATGCAAAGTCTTCTGACCACTATAAGCAACAATGCAGGCATGTTCGGGATGCGATTCTCTCCCTCGAAGTGCAAAATGTTACTTCAGGATTGGGTTGCATCAACACCTGAACTAATGATAGGGAGTGAAGTAGTTGAGCGTGTTGACAGCTTCACTTATCTTGGGAGTCTCATCAGCCCTTGTGGTCTGGTATGTGACGAAATCTCAGCACGGATACAGAAGGCTCGTCTAGCTTTTGCCAACTTGCGTCATTTATGGCGTAGGCGAGATATCCGTCTAGCAACAAAAGGACGGGTTTACTGTGCAGCAGTCCGTTCCGTCCTACTTTATGGCAGTGAAACATGGCCAATAAGAGTAGAGGATATTCGTAGGTTACTAGTGTTCGATCATAGGTGTCTTCGACGCATTGCTCGTATATCCTGGGACCACCGGGT